ATGGTATTACTGCAGTGTAAAGGCCAGAACTACAAGTACTGAGTGCACATGTTGTCAATATTGTCAATTAAATATAAAAAGACAAACTGTCATCTGATTCGTACGTAGAACAACCTTCTAAAACAGAAACAACATCAGTGATGGAGCAAATGTCAGCTCTGATTATGATATAAACTGTCAACACTTTTCTGGAACACAGAGCCATACTGTGGTTAACGGCAGGAACTGAGGTAAGGTTGTGTGTGTTTATGTTTAAATAAGATAAAAGTATTCAGATGTACTTTGTGATTTTAGTCTAGAAATAGAGCTGCTGACAGAGCAGGAAACGTCAACAATTCAACTTCTAGAGAGCAAAAATAAAAGTCCACATTAGTCAAATATGGGATCAGCTGATGACTCACAACAAAAGACTGTGTCTGATACAAATGGTAACAATTCATTTGTATCTCATCTTCCTGTTCTCACTGGTCACAGTGGGAAAACTGACTAGTTAGTTTGTTAGTTAAATGAAAACGATTAAAGACGTGGGGCCAAATGAGGATAAAAAGGATGAAAACAACAAAAAAAAGATCTGACACGGACAGAGATCAGTCAGCGTGTACACAGGAGGAGGAGAAAAGGCCCAGATCCACTCAAAGGTGTGTTTGTTGTTTAGAAGGTCAGACATGTAAACAAAGATTGAAACGTAGTGAATGTTTGTACTTTTGTTGAACCAACAGACACGAGCATAGCGTGACTGAAACAATTCCGACGTCACTCTCTCTCTGTCTGAAGTTTTAAAAACAACTGTTGACCCACCACAAAGCTGCATGACAATGACTCAAATCCACTCTATGGAGTTTAAGGTTGAGTTAGAATTTTTTTATATATATTTTTTTTCCAGATAACATTTGGATAATATAAAAATACAAGTGTGAATCCAGATCTTTTTGGTCTTTTGTCATATTTAGGAATAACAATTCACCTCAATTAACTATGATTAATCACAATAAATTTACAACTGTGATTAATCACAATTAAGCAGGATCAATCTACAATCAACCTTGTGATTAATCTGATTAAAAACTCAAGGCATTTGGATAAAGGTGAAAAATAGAAATGGTCATCCCATGACACATGACCACCTCCAGATGACCTTCTAGTAAAATGCACTGCAGCTGGTTGGAAACCACATGGTTCATCTGAGAATATCGCTGCAGGCGTCGGGGCAACATACACAAGGAGAACGGAGGGGCGAGTGGGACGACCCTCGATGGAAAGCCAATCTGGGCAGTGGTGCAGAATCAGCACAGCGTGAGACATCCGTGCGGCACATCAAAACATCTTTGAGACGCTTTCTGCTCTAACATCTGGTCAATGGTTTCTTACAGGTGAAACTGAAGTCTACCAAGTGTGACATCGAGCCTCTGGAAAGTAACATGTTGTCGCTCCTTTACATGTATTATCCCCTTGCTCCTGCTTAAACCAACATTTGTGTTTCTAGTCTTTTGGCCTTTTAAACTAAAGGGTCAGAAAAAACATAACTCAGTCAAAGAGGCCGTACACGAGCTCAGCTGGTGCACACCAGGTCCAAAGTTAAACAGAAAATAAATAACATCTCGGCGTGACTACATGTGAGGGTACACATTTGAAGATGAGGGTTACTACTCTGCTGAAGAAGAACCTCTTAAGAGCAATTAATTGATTTAAGTAGCCGCTTCCAAAAAGACAGCGAGTAAGAGGGAGAGACACGTACGTCCAGGGGGCATTGCTGATACTTGGATGAAGATTTGTGTCAGTTAGAGCAGAGCTAAACGCCACTTCAAAAAGAACCTATATATTTTGAAAGGTCATTGTTGATGTGCTCTTTCACTGGGCTGTGATGATAAAAGCTGTGCCTTGATTTCCAGGTGTCTGATTCAGTGAACAATCTTCACCTCATCTTAAGAGCAGTAGGGCCTTAAACCATAATTATTCCTTGGAAATGGGATCATTGTGTTCACTTGACTTCCTTGAACGCATCAGGCCCTTACAAGTTAATCAGCCAGGAAAGCCTCTTAGTGACACTGGTGCCTTAATTACATACCAGTGTGCCCGTCATGTTCATCCCAGCAAAGCCACACATTCCACCTACATGGGAATGTGATGTTCTAAGCCAAAACTTTAGCTCTTCCTTCAAATCTACCAAAGAAAGGCACAAATGAACACTCAAATACTTAGTTTTTTAATCCTAAATTAGGTTGATCTAATCCCTCCATAATTATCCTTGACCACTCTCTTCTGAAGCAGGCGTCAGCAGGGCCTCCACACTCTACACCAAAACATTAAGGGCTAAACAAACTGAGCAGTGTGACAATAAAGGAGGAATGCAGCAGAGAGGGTTGGATTTGTTTTCGTGTTGTGAGATTGTTCCTACTCATCTTTCCTTTGGCCTCAGCTCATCTCCTCATTCCATGCTGTTTTAGCATTTTATCCAGTGAGGCAGGGGTGAAAATGCTAACCTTTTCCACACAGCAATAACTTCCCACCATGACATTGAACCAACATTTCTTCAGTGTCCCTCAGTGCTCACAGTGAAAATGTCAGACAGACTCTTTTCATCTCAGGGAAATCCTATCTGATTTACTCTCCCCCTGCCTCCTTCAGCAGAGGCGTCTGTTTGTAAAGGGCCATGTTTCATTTGAATATCAAAGACAGCGAGGAGGTGGCCAGACACTTTAAATGACATTTTTGGGGTTCTTCTCAAAGACTGTGATGGCCTAAGTGTTCTTGATGATGGAATCTAATCAACAAGACAATGTCTCTGCTGTGGCTGCAGGGTGATGGTAATCTATCTACGCATTGCACCAAAACATAAAGTGTTCACAGAATAAAGCTATTAGCATCTCTGTGATGTGCAGCTTTTTAAGGTCCAACTCTTAAGGTTATAATTAATGTTTCTAGCCTTGAACCCCAGAACCACATGCCTGACACGACCTTGTACCAACAAGTCCTAAAAATACTACAGTCACCAACGCTAACAAATGCATTTAGTGTCAGACCATTCCTCCTAGCATGCTGATACAGCCCAAACACTGTGTATGCAAAATAAACATTGCAATTTTAACAAACAGATTCAACAAAATTTCAACAAAACACTTAAAATATGTGTACTACCTTATCAAACAGATAAAAAAGTCAATTTCCAAATATGTATTTTTTAATCATTATTATTTTCTTAACTCTTTCACTGTAGTTCACACACCTTGACATTTTTTGTTTTAAGTATCTCTAGTCTTACTGACTTATAGATAAACTCTAACACCTGGAATACAGTAGGAAAAAACACTAATTCCAAACAAACATTATTAGAAACAAGTAAACATAGAAGATTCTGATTCTGCCTGTGAAAATCTAGAAACATGAAAAATGTCAAAGACTTACCTTGTCTCTTCTGGGTATTCCATTCATGCTGCTCACTGATAGCACTCACATACAGTAGGATCCTGTGTGGTTCAGTTGTCTTGCAGTGTGATGCACTTTTAGGTTCATTCTTAAAATTGGATCCTGAACCCCAGAAACAGAAGGGAGAAAATCCTGATAAGTCATTTGACCAAGGAACTAAATAAAACAAAGGCCAGATAAAAAGCTGATTGTTTTTATCATTATATTGATCTTAGGAAACTCTCACCTGTTTTGCTGACATGCTGCTCACACTTTGGTTCTATAGTAGGAAAAGAAAAAGATAATGATGTCATGTTTACACTGTGCAACAGACTATAGAACATCATAGGTGAAAATGGATCATAACATTAACCCGGTCATCAATAACGGAACTCAGACAGTGTGTAACTTATGAATATATCTCTGACCTGTGCATGAAATGATCTGAAAACGTCAAGTTGGATGCACAATAAGGAGAGACGCCATTTTTCTTACTGCTGTTATTTAACAAGAACCTGCTAGTTAAAACAAGTTCAAGTCTTAAAACAAAAATAACTGATATGTTTACATGTGCCAAGGAATTAAAACACAAACACAAAAGAAAACATCATGGTAGCACAGACAAAAACAATGATCACAATGACCTTGTGCCTCTTCTTTCTTTATGCTGCTCTTTGATTGCACATGTGATTTTGCTGATGATTTTGCAGTTGTTCATAGGGACATATTTTATGAGAATACATTCACAAATTAGTTGTTAAAATTTACATTTTGTTTAATAACTTGACCAAAATGTTTTCTAAAGATAATATTTTATGAGCAGATAATTCATAGAAACCGACCCCTTTTTCCCCCATTGCCTTCTTCATTCAAAAGGTTGATTCAATGACGTTGATTCAGGAAACAGCAAACCAAAACATGATGGTGTAGTGTTCTCTTGACAGTACTATCAAACATCCATGGTTTTTTTCTGTTTACATATTATCTGGGCATCTACCATTATCTTATTCTTTTCTGTTGCTAAGCTTTGTTCTGTACTTCACCTCCATCATATACTGTCATCTAAAGAGCTTTGTGAAAAACACAGGTGATCTGTATTTGTTATGAACAGAAGAGCATGTATACAAAACAACCCAACAATGAAAGGATTTCTTAGTTATCTTAACTATCCAAGGACACGTTGTACATAATAATAGTTAAAAATGAGTGGTTAAAACAAATGTGGATGTGACCTGGAGTAAAATGCCCTTTGTGCTCCTAGTGTCTTTTCCCAATATTTCCCAGTGTGTCGGTTTGTTTGTTTGTGCATGAAAAGTCTTCTCTTGGTTGCGTGATTAGAGATTCAATTGATTAAGCATTTTAAAGGTTTTTTTTAAACAGGTACCAACAATTTTACACGTTTGTAGCAATTATGTTTGTATTTTCGTGTGATCGCAAGTATTTTCACCACAGACACTGTCACTAAATGTTGATGACCGCTATATTATTTTTGTTTTTGCACAAACGTTACTCACTCCCAGTCGAATTATTTGCCTTGCAGGTCTTCACTACAGTCAGGGAGAAATAAGCATGCTCACATACGCTGCAGACGCTGTTCTCGCGAGACTACATGACAGGAAGCGAAGCTATCGAAGGTCAGGAAATAAGTATGGCGTTCCGCAGTGTGTTACGGTCCGTCTGGACTTCTTTTACGGGGTTAAATCCAGGGACTCTGTCCTCAAGTGTGGTTGCACGTCAAACGCAAAATGTCCCTCGACTGTCCGCTTTAACCATACACAGTAGAGGGATCCGTCAAGGTGAGATGCTTGTGTAAACGTTACTATTATAGCCGTCGTGTGATTAGCTTTCATGCTAATGTGAAGATGGTGACACCATGCATCCCAAAGCTCTATCATCTACTCCTGTATCTTTGAACTAGGAAAAAATGACATGACACATATGTATTCTGTTGTGATTTAAAAGCTTGTCCACACGTCCCCGATTTTCATGCTGCTTTGCAATCTCAATTGTTAATCTGGATGACAAAATACTGTTAGTATCCTACATTTGAAAGAGATGCTATATTTAGATAGAGGTATAACAACCTAAAATATGTATGTATAAGATGTAAAAAAACAAAACAAAACTTTGTACTTTGACAAGTATTATCCTTATTTAGAAATAGAAAAACACCCGTTTTAGTGAACCATAAACACAAATACTAGACATGCGACTTTATTAATAATATCTTTGTAAACAAAAATTTGAAAGCTTATGCTCTTTGAGAAAACGTTTACTGGTGTAATCACTGAGGTGGGACATAGTCCCGATGCAGCAACTGTGGTAACAGAACTCCCACTGTGTCACGTGGGGGATGTTCAAATTGCTGGCCAAACGTAATAATTTGACTCCTGATCAGGCTAATATTGTGTTTTTTTAATTAAACTATGAATAGCTACATTTAAACATACATATGTTGTGTATGATATCTCATTGGTGAAGCAGATGTAATATTATGTTGCTAAAGTTTTTTTTCTCTACAGTCATTGAGAAAAAAGAGGACAAAATGACTACGGTGAGTAAATAACAGCTGGTATATAAAGGTTTGTACACAAATGTGTATGAAAGCTTTAATCTTTGGTTTAACAACTCTGCAGATTGAAGGAAAGATATTGGAAGTTCCACCAGGGCCAAAGCCTCCAAATCCCGAGGCAAAGTGTCCGATATACAGATGGAACCTTCAGCACAAATACAACTATACGGTAAATACAATTAAGGCCAAGTACCGATAGATGAGAGATGTAAATAAAAATGTTAAAAGCCCTTAAGGATTTTTTTTTTCTCCCTTCAAGGATGTCCTGTTGCTAAGTCAGTTTATCAGGTCAGATGGAGGCATGTTGCCCAAGAGAATCACAGGCCTTTGCCCCGAGGAGCACAGAAAGATTGCCGTCTGTGTTCAGATGGCTCACAGAGCAGGTGTGTTTCACTGCATAATAGAAAACTGCAGTTCTCTCTCCAGATTGTGTTTGGTTTTTGTTTGGTTTTCAAATATAAAAAGCCAAAGAATCAGTTAAGTAATAAATGTGCATGAAGTTAATGTTGTCACCTGGCTGATACTTGTGTTATTGTGTTTTACTAATGTGCAAATACAGTCAAATGGAATTAAACATCTCAATTTTTAATCTGTGTTGCAGGCCTTCTTCCTGACCACAGACCTAGACTTCCAGAAGGACACGTCCCAAAGCCAAAGAAACCCAAGCTCAACCGGTGATAAATGCATTTTTTTTTTTTTTTTGCGTTTTTCAACGGCATGTCCGCTATTGTGTGAACAAATAATAACTGTGACAAATCTTTTTCTTGTAGTTATTTGACTCGCTGGTCTGTTGGCTCAGTGAAACCCATCTATAAAAAAGGACTGAAGTGGTGTAAGAAGAGAATGGATGTCGGCCACCCAGCTTTGAAAAACAACATACGTTACGGGTTCGGGCATCTTCACCTGCGACATTAAAAGACTGAGAGCAAAGATTTAAACCATCAACTGTAACAAATTTGAAGGAATTTCCTCAAGATCTGCACTTTTTCCTGACTTTTGAACTGGTGCTCTGGGAAAAGACCTCAAAGCTCCATCCATCTGTTATTCTACCTTTTGTTTATCAAGCTGCGTCACACTTGGAATGACTCACGCTCGGTTCCACCCAGAGCCATCTATTTTGTCTCTGCGGGTTTTACAAAAAGCCCTTGAAGTGAACTGGAGGCAACACAGATGTGCAAATAAAATCTTTGTTTATTCTGCCTCCCAGCATTTGTTTACTGTGTTGGACTCAAATTGAAGTAGAGGAAAAGCTCGTCGGCTAGTGCAGTGTACTATCTGAGCAGCATCAACACAGAGTGCTTTCGTGCATTAAACAAATCACAAGGACCCACAATGTTATTTAAGAATAAAAGATCAAATCAAAATTGTCCAGTTCTTAGTTTTATGATCATTATCATTCTCTAGATGCATTATTGTTCACGATCACTCAAAATAATCCGATTTTTGTGTTCTATGCATCTCTAAATAAATCACAACTCTAGCAGGCATATAGTGTAGCTCACTTACAGTATGAACAGTATGCCCATGCTATATATTGTTTAAAAAATCTGCCATACTGCTGCATTTCTTAGGCTTCCATCTTGAATGTCATACCAAATTATCACTACAACATGAAGGAAAGGTCCAAGTTCCTGACTCCATCACCGATGTAGATGTATCCGTGCTGCGGTGTCATTGGGACATGGTAGAAGGTCATTCCCAGCCACAACAGGCAGCGCAGTATCAGGACTTTGTTGGCATTTTCAAACTGAAGACTCCACATCCCTGCATGGAGACAACATTGTTCTAAGTGGATAAGTAACATTAGAGAAAATACTTCTACATCCAGAAGCTGCTAAGGGACAGAGCTGTATCTGCTTCTTGGTATGTATGGGTCAAACTATGAAGCACAGAAAATGTGAACCAGAATATGAATGTCTACATCAACAATAGTGTTTTTGACAGAATCAAGAGGGTTCTGATAAAGATATCTGCCTTGCTACTCTAAGAGGCAGTCACTCCAATAAATAATGGTTTGTGTAGCAGAGGTTATGGGTGTAACTACTGCTGCTGAAATGGGAACCTTCAGCTGTAAATCAACAACTGGACGAATGTTGTGAAAAACGTGGAACCTCCCTTCAAGGTCTCCTAGGACAATGTCTGTTTTTTGGAAAAGATGGATCATACTGCTTTCTCTCCTGAGCCCCTTCTGAAAAATGTTAACTGCTTTTCCTTTTCGGGGAATACATGCAACATGCAATTAATTCTGCTGCAGCCAATAAGGTATGTTGCAGAGACAGCTGTGCAGTATCTGCTGCAGCGACAACACCATCATCCCAGTCAACTTAAAGAACACACGTAAACATACACACGTGGGAGTTCTTTAGGATCCCACATCTGTTGCACGTTTCATCACGAACTACAGCCTTTTTTTCCTCCCGCTTTCACTTTTCCTGATTTGACACGCAAAAGAAATCACTTTATTTGTATTCTGTCCAGCTTCACAGACTCGACCCAACTCACCAGAGATTTACTCGCTATTCTCTCTATGCTCGTGTTTGTTTAGAGTTGGCCTTCAGAGAAGGACTTTTCCAACATATTTTAAGTGCTTCAACCAGTCTAATGCCTGAGCATTCCACCAGTTATTTTTACACACAGTGTGAAGAATCTTTATTGTTATTGCAGGCTGAAGATGCACAATATGAAACAGATGTAAGTCAATAGTTTAAGACAAAGGAGTTGAGATGCCCCATTCCACACCGAGCTTGTCGTATACATGAATTCATATTTACATTTCACTTTTTCTTTACTCAATTTTATATTAAACAGATATTTGGGAAACAAGAAGGTGTGGTGAGTTTCATGTTTTTGGGTTCTATCACCTCACCTTTAGGGACATCATCAGTCAGAAGGTCCAGGAAGTCAATCGTTTGGTTCAGCTCACTCAACTCAAGAAGAGATTTCTTCTTCAGAGTCTTGGGATCCCTGAAGTGTAGAAAACTGTCAAGCTTTGCCGCTTGTGATTCTGTCAGTCCTGATGAGTAATACAGATAAAGGCCAGCTTTTAACAAGGTACTTCAACAGTCATCCAGGAATAGAAGCTCACAAATAATAGTACTTTACCTTCAAAGCAGCGGTTGACCTGAACAAAGCCATGTGGATTCTTGATGAACGCGCCTCGTGGTATCACAGAAGATTCATCATCAATCAGATGAATCGTCACTGCCAGTCTGTGCTCCTCAGTAGTTTTCACCTGAAGAACAGAATAGGCCACCATCATACTTCAAACCGATGACTGTCCAGATAATAGAAAAAAAGGAAAACAAAAACTATTTTCTGCATAAGGCTGACCAGAGTGACCAGAGATAAAGTGTCTCCTGTATGAAACATGAGAGCCATATTCTGGTGGGTTTTTGCATTACTACTGCACTTATTCTTACCAGTTCTTCCTCCACTTCATCTTCATCTCCTACTTTTTTGAGGATCGTATTCTCATACACATGTGATGCGTCGCCCATGAAGCGACCAGTGGCAGCTTTGGAAACTTCTTCGATCATAGGGATTGTGGCAGGAGGCAGCAGGAACCAGTCCATACAGTTGAAGCTGCAGATCAAAGAAACAATATTACAAAGTTCAAATTTTTGTATAAAAATACTTATAATCAAAGACTCTCATTTGGTTTGTTGCTGCCTTTAAAGACACTCAAGGTCAACCTTTCATCAGTAAAATAGTAGAAATACATTTAAACATTTAAACAAACGAAAAAGCAGACACATTGTGGATATACAGGCACAATTATTTAAAAATGAAGCACACTACTAAAGGAAGTAGTAAAAAAATCAGTGAAAATAGCAAAATAATAGTGCTAAACTCAAATTTCTGGTAATCTGCATGCACAAGCTACACATCAAATACAGCACAGCAGTACAGTAGTAGTACAATACTCACATTCAATGTTATATACAAGACCAAACAGAACTTTACCTGTACAGGTTCTTTTTATCCTTCAGCTCATCATCTCCTCTTCCCTGGGCAATAAAATAATCCTCCTTTATTCCCATAATTTTACCCCAAAAAAGAACTCTATTGAATTTGTAATTTTTCCTTAAAATCAGTAATGAAGTCTGTAGTGCTGTTCTGTGTTCTGTGTTTAAAATGTTCCCGCTTCCGGCGACAAGTTCCAGGGAATAGTGTAACGAGTCTGCGTCCATTGTTACACTAATGACACCGACGTACGTCTGAATTATCGGTTTATAGTTTAACAGCTAATTAAACACCTGTTTAGGTTTAGATTTCTTAACGGCACTTTACATCCGCCACCACTGCCTTCTTAGCTACAGTGGTTGCTAATGTCAACAAACCCCGTTGACACGATGGAAAAAAAATTCAAAGGAAAGAATACGCATTAAAGATATTGAAGGGTTTCACGCTTCCCTTTCATGTCAGACACGTGTTTTGTTTTGTTTTTTCTATCGCTTTTTATTTTTTTTTCTTCATTCTTAATCTTTCTAAATGTGCGTTCTTACATCGGAAGTGACGTAGTCTGTGTTCAGGGAGTGAATTTAAGGATATATGTGTATACGTACTATTCATACGCACGTGTAGATTATAAAGATAGATGATTGAGACAAGTCTAATCATCACGAATTACGGACATTAAATTGTACTCACTAAAAATGCACTGTATTTTAATGGGAATGTGATACAACATAAACAAAACTACTACAAAACCTTTTGTTTAGAAAAAAGCTGTGGCTTACCATATACATGACTTAGTCATGGCGGTCACTATATGAAGCCGTCCCTCACATCAGTGAAAGGTTTCAGCATACTTGGTGCATAACATTATTTACATTAAAATAAACAGAAGTGGATTTCGGTCATTTAGCCATTTTGTCACTTGCACATCTTAGTAAAAGCTAATTTATGCCAACGTCCATTGCTTGTCAATTGACTTTAGCAACGCTAGCTGCTTTGTTTATCTTCCGACATTGACGCTTGACATTCTTCGCACGCATTCTAACGACGTCAGAGAAGCAGCACACGAGCCTTTTCAATAAAATTAATCGATTTAGTTGCCTCGGTAACAATTTTCCTCTTGGACATTAACTCTAGGTTCTTTAAAAAAAAAGAATCGCATAATGACAAAGAAGTGAACTAAAACCGCATGTGGAAGTTCTAATAGGAATGTAAACCTAACTCAGTGAGATGATATGCGCCGTCGCCAGGCTGCGATTGGACGACAATCATTTTGTTAATTTGCATATTACAAAACTGAACGTCCTGTATTTTACGGTTAAATATAAGAAATCACAGCAAATTAAAACAGTTAACAGTATACAGGATTAGGTCATTATTGTGATTTAGGACTTTAATGCCTATTTTAACACAGCTGAAAGAAAAAGAAAAGCCACTGCTAAACCTTTTTTTATTATTATTTATTCCAAACGATGGCTCTTAATTTTATTGTCATGTAATGTCTGAATATTTTACGTTGCTGACAGCGGCTAATTATTTGGACATTACTAGTTGGCCAGACGTCTGCTTGAATCATCATTCATAAATGTTTAACTTTTAATTCATTTCTGGCTCCATTGTCAAAACCTCCTTTCATCAACACAGTGCTGAAATCAACAGCAGCATATCTTGTAAATTATGTAGTGTATGGCATCCTCTAAATCCCAAAAGGACACAGAACAGACATTGTTTTGTTAGTTTATTCTGGAACAGATCCACCAGTCTTGGCCAATGTACGCAACATGAAGCTGGCTGAAGTTACACACCAGGAAACACAAATGGCTCCCGTCCAATAAATGATTTTAAACTGTGGACCAGTGTCAAGCTGATCTTGTTCTTGCTAATCCTGATTTAGTTTCCCAGGATATTGGACCGTGTCAGTTTCATCTGCGTTTTCCAGAGACGTACAGATCTCTAAAATCAAGGTCATATTTAGGGGATTTACTTTACAGCATGCATAACCTAGAATGGGTAGTTAAGCATGGGTTCTCTTTATTCTTAGCAACTAAAGTCTCACAATTACAACTCTAATTTATTGGCGTAATGTCAGACCACCCTAATAGAAATTGACATGACTTTGAACCTGGCACAAGTCATCAATACCAAGATTTGCCACATTTATAAAAAACAGATGAGAAAAGTGCCTGATTTGTCTGATATATTTGCCTGGTGAATCAAACTGTTCATCAAGCAAAATAAATAAAACTCAAGGCCATAACATGGATACTGATTAGCACTGTTGTGTTACAAGCAGAAGGTAACTGGTTCATGTCCCACTTGAGCACATGGCCCTTTATTTGTTTGCACATTTTTTATATGTGCATATGTTTTTTTTTCTCGGCTACCTTAACTGTAATACACATACTCATCCAATCAGGTACACCTGCAACAAGTGTTTGTGGTTTTACCAGGGGTGACTTTGGGGTCACTGTAAAACCTTTTTTTTATTTCAGTTAGTGATCTGTACTGCCCTTCTGTTATTGTTTTGTGTGTGTCGTAAGCACATGGGAGCCTGCTCCCAAACACATGGAAGATGAGTCATAAATTGCATCAAAACAGATTAATTTGATTTTCACCACAAACAATGAGCAGGAAACCTTCTCTCAAGAAGCCCCAGCTCCCAAACTGAGACAGGCCTTCTTTTTAACTTTTAATAATCCCTTATGTTTATTCATTGCCATGCTCGGCGATTCTCATGTCACACTGCAGTTGCAGCGGTCTGTGCGTTGGTTGTGACTGTCCAAACAAAAGGGCTTGGTCTGTAGTCACATGCTCGATCAGCAGTGGTGATTTCAGCTGCCTGGCCCTCTGCCCTTCTGGCTAATGTAGTCCACCAACAGAAAAGGGAGGGAGAGTGGGGTGACTTCACCACAAAGTACCCCACACAGAAGAGAATACACAAGGACAGCCCCTCACCAGCCCGTCCACTCACTCACACAGACAAACACACTTTGAGCTTGTTGCTGGGGATGGCACCTCATTAGAGTTGGCAGTCTAGGTGGAAGTTTGGAGTTGCAAGACACAGAGTGACCCACACACACACATGTGTGCACACACACACACACACACACACAAAGCACTTCATTTGTGCTTCCCATTTGGCTGGGAAGGAAGTAATACTTGGAATGAAGCAGTCTGTTTCTGTTCTTGTCCTGCTGCTCTGGGAAACTCACCTCCCAGGCGACCAGCGTTGCCACGGCACTAATCCTGACGGACAAAAGGTGGGAGTACCACAGACCACGATGCGACCAGCTGCTTCTATTGGTTAGCAACATCCCACGCGATGCCGTGATTGGTCAGGGCCATGTTTATATACAAATTGGGGCAGTCAGAGGTCACAGCCATCGATCTTGGTGGTGACATGAAGGAAACCTAACCCCAAAACCTCAGGACTCTAAATGGGTTTGATTCCTGTTTAATATGTACCCATAAAAGTACACACACACAAACACAGCAGCCCATTCTTGGGTCCTAGTGGCCTGGGAGGGCTGAATGAAGTGAATACTGAAAGAAGGAGAGTGAAGTGACTAAATAATGGTGTCTGTGCTGTACAAAAGCACCGACCATAACAATACAAAGAATGTATGGAGGGCACAGGGGTCAGCAGATTGCACACCTTAATAAAAAAACATTGGATTAGGGCATGTAAAAGTGTAATGTCAAATAAACTAAATAGCTGTTTCATTTGACATCAACCAGAAAAGTTATTTATTGTGTTTCTTTATGTTTTTCATTTTTTCCACTAATCTCAAATTACTATCTTTTACTTTTGACCATACATTAATTAATTTACTAACAACACTTAGTTCGCTTTTAGTAACTTAAATGAAATAATTAGTCGTTGTTGGTACACACTGTACTAAGTCGCAGATGAGGTCAGTTGTTACGGGGATACGTCCAATTTATCTTTGCCATTAATTTTTTTTTCTTGACAAATGAACAACTGGTCACACAAAGCTGTGTTTATTAAAAACATGATTCAATGCACTCCAGTTGTCAAACCTGGTTAAGACTTCACTGTGCGTGTTAAAACTGCTGCTTTTGCAAACCAGTAAAGCAAGACAAACCTCAAGCAATTGTTGAGTTTGTGTTTTCACAAAAAGCACAAGTGCATCAGCTACAATAAATTACTTTGGAACAGTGAGCAATGATGCACCTGCCGTTACAAAATTCAACACAGAAAACATGAACAAGTCATTTAACTATGACAGTTTAAATGAAATGGCAAATCCCTAAGTTCAGACTTTCACATGGCCATTAGCAGAGGTCAATGACCATTTGTTTCTAAACTGGGCCAGGAAACTTGCGGTGTTTACAACTGTAGTTCAAGTACAGTAAGAGGTTTTTGTAAAGCTGTAGACTCTAGGTTTGGATGCTGCCTTTGGGACTGAGATCATTCTCAGACTCTGTTTTACACTGAACAAAGACAGTTGAACAGTCATTAAAAAAAAAACATTAAATCAAATGAATCTTTCAGAATGTGTATCGGGTGTCTGACATTGAAACTCTAGACCCCATTTCCAGCTAGTTTCTAGACCCACATGAGGATAACAGCAGTTATTAGTTCCCCTGCATTTTGACCCTGAGCTGGTTTTTCACAGACTTTTCGGAGACACCATGTTTTCATGGAGGTTGCGTCATTCTTGTCAATAAACCAATGGACATTGTTGGTTTTCTTCAGTGGTTCCCATATCAGGGAGTGGGTCCCCCTACAGGTGCTAGGCCATTAAAGGAAAATTCATTTCAATTTAGATTTTTTATTTATTTTCCCAGAGTGTGGAAAATGCACTAGTTTATAATTGTACTACCTTTGTTTGATTTGATTTGAACATTTTTTTAGGAATTAAATTAAGGAAGGGAGTAAATAAAGTTTTGAGGCAGCAACAGTGACACAATTAGTTTTGAGGCTGGATAGATGTTGGACTGTATTTGATTCTCTTGATGCTGCCTATGTAAGAGATGAAAATCATATCAGGTGAAATCAGTTTCCGAGCAGCTGCTTTTGTGAGACTCCATTTAAGAATACTGATTCTCGTCAAGTACAAAAAAAGCCTTTTAAAACAGGTAAAAGCCCAGACACAGTCCAGATCTTTGGCATTCGTTTATCCTCATTTAACCTTGGTAATGCATCATGAAAGCCCTTTAAATGGCAACAAAGGCCTTTTTCAGCTTGAGGCAGGTACCCTGGGGAGAATGTGGAAAGCCGGGGCAAAAGGAAACAGAAGGGGGAACAACAGTAAAAGATCAGGTGATGAGGTGGAGCCTCTGAAGTTGTCACACTGGAAACTGACTTCTGCCTGGGCCAGATTAGTCTTAATATCCACAATATAAAGCTGTGCACTTGTCCTCCTTCACTGCTTTGATGAATGAATACTTAAGGAGCTCGTTGCAGTACTCAAATGCGGCTCAACAGTGCCCCCTGGTAACAGGAACCACTCATTATGGCACATAACTAGGTTTTATTTTCTAAACAGAATTAAAATACCAGTAGCCATTCAAAAGACAAGGTTAATAGGACCAACAAATCAACAAGGATGAACGTTTTTGTTAAATTGCCCATTTATAAAAGAAAAGAAAAAAGTCACATAAAAATGTATGGCACATGAGAGAGCGGCACCATGGTTTTAACAGTAGTAAACTGTAATAATTTAAGGCACACCTTGTGTTTTATCATCAATGCACTGAGCAGACTATGAAATTATAACCAATAAAAATGTCAAACTCGTTTTTTATGGCAATTACACAAAATGTCAACTGTTGACACGTTGTTGATGAAACAGATTAAAAAGTAAGTCCTGAGTACAGTAAGTCAAACACTGAAACCATAACGTGTGAACTGTGTTTAAGTGTACTGACTCAATAAAGCTCCTTCAACCACAAGACAGTGTGAATTTCACTTTTTAAAACAGTAGTTGACCCAAAAATTCTTCCAATACTGATATATACGCATAACATTCACACACCCACATACATATAAAATGATAAAAAAAAAATTATTAATATACTGTATATAAATACAAGTTGACGAAACAAGGACTCGCTAGGTACAAAAAGTGCATTATTACCATTCCCTTGTCAGGCGTTGTTCTCTCTGCCTAGCAATGGTGTTGGGCTGAGGATGAATCACGGAAGGTAATCAAGTTTCCAAGTCTTTAACTCCATTGGTGACTTTTGCCGAGTGCTCCAATGAACATATGCTGTTGTTCATGCTTTCCTCTGTGGCACCATAAGACTGTTCAAGTTTGGAGCCCATTGCAGTGCTGGCAGGAGATTTTGGATTAAGCACTCTGGGAAGGTAGACCTGCAGTAAAAAAATGTGATCTTTTCAAAATCAGTACTATGGGTATTATTTTGATTAATATTGCAACCTGTACGACCTTCAAAACTTGAAACAAAAAAATAAAACAAACAGTTAACAAGAGGGCAGCCAGTGGCCCGGAGGTTAATAAATAAACAGGCCAGTTCCGTAGTAAAGACGTTGTCTACCTCTGAGTTTTCCTCTGCTGCGTCTTCTGATTTTTCCTCCCCCTCCTCCTCCACCTCCAGACCAATGTAAACATTGATTTCTTTTAATCATCAGAAATGTCACAGATGTGTCTGACATATTCACATGGGACAAATACTCACCTTGTAGTTGTGTGGGCTGAGGTATTTGAAGTAACCGAAGCAGGTGAAGCCCAGGCAGATTATCACAGTGATGAAAAGGACCACCAGGGTGAAGAGAGACGTTGGAGCCCAGAAACCTGCAACATGAACGAGACGTTGTCAAAAGATGTATTCTGTTACAACGAAATAAGCAGTAGATAGTGGATGGATGGACATGCAATGAATACAGTAACAGAACTTATGTGTTATTAAATCTGTTAGCTGAAAGCCACTCTTTTTTAACCTGTTCTGAGCACTGAGAAGAAATAGAGCCATATAAGGGAAATAATGGGTGCAGCCAGGGCTTGATTGACAGCTCCCAGGTGGACCTGACAGTCCAGACGTGCAGGCAGGTAGGCAAAGTACATGTTGTATTTGTCCACTAGGTGTTTCAGCAGTATGTACAGGAGACCTGATGGGAGTCAGAAACACAAGAAACAAGCTTGTTAACAACAACATCTGGTTTGACTATGTGTAAGTACATGCTTATGTTTAGGTTACTATTATTACCAAAAGGCATGATGATGGGGCAAATTATGCTGTAAGCCATAATGACAGTTAACACACAGAGGGTCCATCCATACATGGCTCCATACTGAAACTCATAGGCCTGATTCTGTAAGTACAGGCAGGCAAACAACTCATCGGGGGAGAATATTCCACAAAATTATTCTGCTTATGCTTAGAAGTGTATAACTTTCCACTCTGGAACCTGTAAAAAAGCAATGGCTGTATTACGAACCTGTTTGACATACTTCCTTTCAGCTGCAGAGCCTGCAAATATCAAACGAATGCAGTAAAGCAGTAATGCTGGCAACCGCAGCAACTCCATCCCACAGCCCACCAGCGCTGCTGCGATCACGTAGTTTACAAAAAAAGCACCTTGGTCAGGTAAAAATACACATCTGGTGTAAAGAGAGACAGAAAAGCAAACAAACACAAAATATGAATGAATAAATATACCAGTTACAACACAATTTTAAAAATCTGACCTTGTGATATTTAAACATATAGACGTAATGATCAGCTTAAATTAAATTTGGTGCCCCTGGTTTGAACTACTTACTCAAATCTCAGCTTTCCATCGGACAAAAACTTGTTATCAAACAACCAGCGGAAAAACACAGCCAGACTGAAATGACAAATGCAACGAGTTATTCCAAATATTAAAATTATAATAACCCCCCCCCAAAATAATAATATTGAAAATAACAAAGATATACCTGGTAAGTCCCAGAGAGGGGAGGAGCAGAACCATGAAGAGAAGGAAGAAGTAGAGTTTACTCATCATGCTCAGCTGCTCACTGGACCTAAGAACAAGAGGGCACTGAACGTAATCATATTTCTACACAGTATGGGTGCATGAATATATGTGGGCATTTTATGAGTATTGTTGTAACACCTGCTCCAGTGCGCCTCCCCAAGTGTGGAGTAGTAAACTATGGTGGGTAAGAGTGCAGAGAAGCTCCAAAGCAGGAGAGTTGGGAAGAACTGGCTGATGATGGGACTCTGAGGTGGAAATGAAAATGTTAATCAAATACTTTATTTTAAACAAAGTTTAATCACGTTTTTGTGAGTCTCACATTAAGATCGTCAATAGGCTTGGTCACTTGGAACTTGTCCATGGTGTTGATGATGATGGTTGGAGTTGTGAGGAATGTAAGCAGGAAGAACAGGGAAAAGTTGATCATCACGTAACGCATGAACCAGGAGAAACCCCGCACAGACAGATTTTCCCTATTGGAGGGGGTAAAAATCATTTCAGAAATCACACAGCTTCATCCCACAAGGAAATACATTTCGGTGACTTGAACACTAGAGGGAGTAGTTTGTGAATAAAACTGACAATGAAGGAACGTTGAACATTTGTTTTGCACAGCCTTGTCAATACTGAGTGTTTGTGTGACTACTTTGCATAAATGTCATTTAATTTTAAACCATTGTTTGCATTATTGTGTAATATTGACAACCCTACCCATATAATATGTGGTAATATGGATAAGATATCCATGCAGCTTATACCTTATGAGTACTTGGGAGTCTTTTATCTTACCAGTAAACATTTTTTGGATGAGGAGCAAATTTGATGCTCCACCTGTTCACTTTCAGATGAAGACTTCTAGATGAAGGCTGTGGCACTTTCCCACAGCAGCTGCCACACTCCACTGCGTTGAAGTCTTTCAGAATGCTGTAGTGAGAACAGGACAGTAGCAAGTGAGCCATAAACATTAACCAGCTTTTAACAATCACAGGGCCCCAAAGACCAGTAACAAGTAAAAGAGAAAGTCATGCGGTGAAAATAAAAGTGTACTTTATCCTAATTGGGTTAGAGAACAGGCTACTTTTAGATGGGAAGTCATTTAGCACGTTCACCCATTTAAGCATGGATCAGTATATTTTAAAAATAATACAAACCAAATCTGTTTACTAAACTAGATCAAACTGATAGTAGCGGAAGACATGATGAGTTTGGAATTCCACCCCCGAAAAGCTATTCTAGAATAGTATTAGCTTGCTATAGTACTATTCTAAAATAGTATTACGTAGTATCAAAAAACGAAAAAGACATCTTTAGAAAGCTTCTCAGGAGGTGGCCTGAGCATTTCTTTGATGTATTTGATTTCAAAATGTCTCCAGATCATAAATGTATTGTTTTGTAAAAGTCAGTTACAGGATTTGAAAAAAATAATATATA